GGGCCCTGCCGTCAGCCCCGAGCGGCTGCCTCCCGGGCGGCCTCCCGGGCGGGCGGCCGGGCGCTGGGGGCCGGTTTGCGTGGCGCGCTTGTGTTCACACAGCGGGCGGCCGGTGTGAGGGCGAGTGTACCCAGAGGCGCGCGAGAATCTCCGCCTGTAGCTGAAGGCGCGGCTGCGTGTGTGGGGGCAGTTAGCGGGCTGCGGAGCCGCCTGTTTGTGTTTGGGGTTTTCAAATGTGGTTAAGCTCGTGTAAGTGCGGCCACGTGTGTGTTGAGGAAAACTCATGTGTGCGTGTTTGTTTGCATGGGGTTTGTAGTTGCTTTTTTTTTTTTTTTTGGCATTCCAACGTGTGTTCTGTTGCATTTGTCTTGCTCAGCTGTCATCATGAATTAATATTCCCCAGATATATGTATGCATGTGATGTAAATCTGTGGCAGCCTAGATATAATTGTGCAGAATGTTCTTTTACACCTACGCATTTCAGTGCACATGTGTTTGCATTGATTTAACGCGTGTACTGGGGGAGAGCAATGCAGTTTGAAAAAGCACAGAATAAATTGGTTAATTTTGTATTTGTAATAACTAAGAGGATATTGTTAATCTGTGTGCCCCTTCCCCCTAATGCCGAATTTGTTCTTTTAACAACTTGAGAGATTCTTCAGCCTGGAGCTGTGTGCCCAACAGGCATAGAGCTCAGTCTCTGTGTATTGTAGAAGTGTCTGAAATGTACACTTGGTACCTCTTCACTGATATCCATAGTTTACAAGAGTAAATAGAAGCTTTCAAGGAGGAATATGGTAAGTAAAACACTGCTGTAAGCTTACAAAGAGTGCGTGACCTACAAAACCTTGCACAGGTGTCAGCTGATCTACTTTCTAGCTGTAACTCTGCTTTCTTGAATTTATTTCAGGCAGTGCTTTTAAACTTTCAAATCTCTGTTTCACCATCTTCCAAATGGGTATGGCAAAATTATTTTTTACTTTCTATGTTAGATAATAACTGAGTATTGTGGGTACAGCGTAAAGCTGAGAATTACAGATTTACTAATAAACAAGTTGAATCAGTATTGTCTGGTAAGAGCAGGCATTGGTTTGATCCTCACCTTCAAAATATTCACGGGAGACGTGTCTCTGGGATTCACAGCCAGGGGTTTTGGGTTGATCTCTCAAGGATACTGCTTTGCAGGGTATTCATGTTATTCTTTGGGCTGAAAGGCCTTTGGATGACTGGCTGAGCATCAGATGCTGCCACATGTTCTCTCACCAGATATTTGATAATCAGATAAAAATATAAGGGCAGATGTCAGGGAAGACAGCAGGGAAAGAGCAGGGTAAACTGCACAGAAAAGGAACTGAAACTGATCTTGAGTGGCTCTGTTTCAGGACCAGAGCTGCCTTTCCTGCTTATCTGGCTGAAATAATAAAAATCTCAGTTTACACAGAACCCAATCACCAAAGAGAATTAGAAACCCACATCTATGGCGCTGCCCGCAGAGTTTCCAGGAATGGGCTTACCCTAGTGGCCTGAAATAATCAGGCATCTTGCTCAGCATTTTGCTGTGGACTGGGGATTGATTTAGGCCACTGGGAAAACGAGGGCCGAGGACTTGGCAGCTGAGCCAGAATCCCGTTTCTCTGCTATGGGATATACCAGAATCAGTATCTAGTATAGATAGACACAGTCCCATCTATTTTGGGGTTCTGTATGGTATGAGAATACGCTTGCTGAAGCCAGTTTTTTTTTTTTTTCTTTTCTTTTTTTTAAATTGGCTTCCTCCGTAGAATAGCTTTTGTCCTTTTTTTTTTTTTTTTGGACCTATATATGTCAGGACTCTTGTTCTTTAAGAGCTAAGTTTTTGTTTGCAAGCACTGTGGAAACATTTCCTTTCTACTTTTCCTAATTAGCTCTCTAGCTCCCAAGCAAATGATGAATTTTCTGGAATACCCAACACAGTGCAAGTTCCTAGCTTCTGTAATGGACGCCTAGTCTGTGTCTCTGGGTGGTGCAAATGGTTAACAGAGGCACCTCCGGAGAACTAGTTGGGAAAAAATCAGCCATTGAAAACTGTGGGGAGCACAGTTCTACTCTGACCCACATGCTGTAGCCATGAGCGAGAGCTGACTCCACGGCAGCCGGTACTAACCGCTACTAGTCTGCTTATGATGGATGGACAGCGGATGGTGGTGTACGCACATTTGGGTGGAATACGGAGATTTAGGGAGAGCAAAGGATATGGCCGTCTATGTCTTAATCTTCATTCCTTTAAAACAGGAAACCACCACCGGACACTCAAATATCTACTATTAAATTTCAACCAGTTTTAATCCTAACCCAACTCTGCCATTGCCTCTTTTCATGGAAAAAACTTAGTAGGAAAGTCTTGGTGCCATCCTGGGCATCTTTGGCAAAGTAACTGTACAAGCCATGCGTCCATTTACCTGTTGCCAACACAGTGCAGTGTTTCCCAGGTCACAGAGATGTATTTATTAACGTAAATGCTCAAGTTCAATTGTGATGGGGGAGACTGGGAAAGAGGCCCAGGAAGAGGAAGAGGTGCTGAAAAGGATGACAGCAGATAGTAAGCAGTGGAAATAATGTTGCAGTTTAGCCGTCAGGGTTAGTAATGTCCTTATTTTCCCTCTCACTCTGAACCTTTGCCCTGTGTAAGGAGGCGGTGAATTTAGCTTCTAGAAGGGATTAGTGAGAAGAGAATGTGAGTGTTGGTTTGACAGGTGGGATAAGGGAGGACATTAAACCACAGGGAAGGCCAACAACCTCTCTAGCGGTTTGTTCTTCCTCCACTTTCAAAACACAGCTATTATATCTTTCCATCCTAAAAGTCTAGTAATAAGAGGTAAGCCATGTTGAGTGTTAATATTCTAGTAACAACATGTTGGTGAGGATATTTTGTTTAGAATTTGATCTTGTTTTTTTAGTGATGATGTGATTTAAAATTTTTTGTTAACTTCATTTTATTTACATATTAGAATTATTGAGAATTTTAAATAAGAAATTTACAAATTGCAAAATGCTGATCTGTAGGTATTTCTTGTCTAAACAACATGATTACACGCAATTAAAAATTACATACATATTAAATTACTTGATAAGATTTTACTAGTCAAAATGAAGGTGGTTAGTACATTTGTAATGATCAAAGCATTCATCAAATTTTAAGAAATTTGTCCACAATAAATACAAAAGGTAGGAAATATGATCATAAGCTTTGCAGACAAATGAAGTCAGAAGAGGAAGAGAATTCCAGAATAAATGATCTTTGAAATTTTTATGGCAACTTCTACGTGCCAGATACTGTGCTGAGTTTTTTACCTGCATTAATTCATTTAAATCTCATAAGAACCCTGTTATGGATTGAATTGCATTCCCTAAAAAGTTATGTTGAAGTCTTAACCCCTGTACCTGTAAATATGACCCTGTTTGAAAAAAAAAGTTTTCTTCGGTTAATGAGGTCATACCAGAGTAGGGTGGGTCCTACACCTAATCCCTTCTGAGTGATGTCTTATAAAAAGAGCCAAATAAACACAGAGACACACACAGTGGGAAGATAGATGCCATGTGAGGATTGTCCACAAGCAGAGGAATGCCAGGGATTGTCGGCAGTCACCAGAAACTAGGAGAGAGGCCAACAGAAGGAGACAATATGGCCAAGACTCTGATTTGGACTTTTAGCCTCCAGAACTATGAGAAAATAAATTTCTGTTCTTTAAAGCTACTCACTGTGGAGTTTTTTGTTATGGCAGCACTAGGTAACTGAGACAAACTCTGAGATTCGTACTAATATTCCAATTTTACAGAAGAAGAAAGAAGGTTTAGAACATTTTTTTGCTCAAGACCATTAAAAGTAGAAATGGTTGAGCTGGGATTAAAACATAGATCTGTCTGACTGTACAAGTGGTTCTCTTTATCCCTCATTGGTCCAAGTGTGAGAGCACATTGAGAGCTCTCAAATTGGGGGAGGAAACAGTCTGGTGGGCAGGAAGAAGGGGGTGATGAAGATGACTTTTTTTTCTTATTTTTTAGAATCGCTATCTGGATGAGGAGCCCTGTCGGTGCAATGGTTAAGAGCTACGGCTGCTAACCAAAGGTCAGCAGTTGGAATCTACCAGCTGCTCCTTGGAAACTCCATAGAGCAGTTCTGCTCTTTTCCGTAAGGTCGCTATGAGTCGGAATCTACTCAACAGCAACGGATTTGGTTTTGGTTTATCTGGATGAATGGTGAGGTGATACTGCTGTCTAAAATTTTCAAAATGGAGGAAGAAGCATAAGTTACAGGGATTGGGGAAACGTGTTCATTTTGAAGATAATGATCTGGAAATATATTCCAGAGGAGATATTCAGTAGGCAGTTGAGTAATAGAAGTCAAGAACTAAACTAAATAAGTAGATAAATAGACAATCCCCATTTTCCTGCTCTTTCAACAGCCTTTGTTCAATAGCACCACCTTTTGAGTCTTGCACTCTTCACTCGTGCTGTATTTGGTCCAGTCTTCACCATCTTCTCTAGTTCATTCCCAGATGTTCTTTGAAGACTGGTGGCTCGTCCCCACTCCTCCTCCACATCCTATGCCCTGCCATTGTCCCAGGCAGCTTTACCCTGGCTCCCCAGGCCATTGC